AACTTTCCTTCTCAAGGGGGGGTCGGAGTTTGAGGCAAGGGGGGTCTCCGAAGACTATTTTGCCTCTAAAATTGAAAAACACGACCCCCCCTTGACCAAAACTAGGCTGTGAAAAGGTCGCGGGGGCGGCCCTTCTCATCAGAATTGAGGGTTAAAAACCCTGAAACACCCTGAAAAACATTGAAAAACCATGAAAAACACTGAAAAACTCTGAAAAACCTTGAAAAAAAACTCTGGGCCCTAAACCCTATGCCCCAAACCCTATGCCCCAAACCCTACAACCCTAAACCCTCTTGAGGGTTAAAAACCCTGAAACACCCTGAAAAACCTTGAGAAACCTTGAAAAACACTGAAAAACTCTGAAAAACCTTGAAAAAAAAAACTCTGGGCCCTAAACCCTAGGGCCCAGAAAAAAATATGCCGACGAAGGTCATTAGGGTTTAAATATACATAGTAAGAGAGGGTTGAGGGGAATGGGGCTTAGGGTTTTGGAGGTTAGGGTCTTTGGGGTTTAGGGTTTTGGAGTTTAGGGGCTTTGGGGTGTTGAGGAGGTTTAGGGTTTATTGCTTGGGGTTTAGGGTTTAGGGCTTTTGGGGAAGGGGAGGGGGCGGGGGGGGGGGGGGGGGAGGGGGCTTAGGGTTTAGGGTTTAGGGCTTTGGAGTTTTGGGGGTTAGGGCTTCCTTGGGTTTCGGGTTTTTAAGCTTTGGGTCTAGGGGCTCTGCGGTTTCGGGCTTTAGGGTTTAGGAGGTTTCGGGGTTTAGGGTTTAGGGTCTTGGGGTCTTGGGGTTTGAGGTTTAGGGGGTTGAGGTTTTAAACGTGGTGCTGAGGGCTGCTTAGAGGGCTTCAGGGTTTAGGGTTTAGGGTTTAGGGTTTAGTTGGTTTAGGGTTTAGGGTTTAGGGTTTAGGGTTTAGGGTTTAGGGTTTAGGGTTTAGGGTTTAGGGTTTAGGGTTTAGGGCTTCCAAAGGTGCAGAAAGCTTTCTGTCGAGTGGTTTTGCCGCGTTGATCTCACGAGGTTCTGCAGCTTTGCTGAAGGGTTCTTGAGGTCCCTCGACCCGAAACCTTAAACCCTCTCTTACATTATATATATATATATATATACATACATATATGTATATGTATATGTTTATGTATGTATATATATATGTATGTATATATATATATATGTATATGTACATACATATGCACATGCTGACTTATTTGTGTTTGCTATTGCTGAAACCCCGATGGCATTCGCGGGAACTTTTTGCCTTTCTTTGTGTGCAATTCTGAAGAGTTCGTGTGCAACTGTCACCAGTTCGCGGGCAATGGTTGTTTGCAATTGCCCACGGAGTTTTTTGACAATTCCCCACGAACTCTTGAACAATTGCACGCCAACTTTCAAAATTGCCCACGAGCTCTTGACATTCCCTCATTGCCTACTTTAAGGGTCCATACATCAGAACCCTTTAAAAGAGGTTCGGGACCATATCAAGGACCCATGAAACTACCCTCAGAAAGAACCCTAAACCTAAACCCTACACCCTAAACCCTAAACCCTGAACCCTGAACTCTGAACCCTAAACTCTAAACCCTAAACCCTAAACCCATGCCAAAAAGATTCTCGACACTGAGGAGCTGGACCCTCGCACACTCAGCGACTCGGCCAGGGTGCCAGTTCTCGGCTCGGAGCTTGGGAAGGTCAGGCTTTCGGTGTGGGTTTAGGGTTTAGGGTTTAGGGTTTAGGGTGTAGGGTTTAGGGTTTAGGGTTTTGTGTTGGAGTCTTTGGGGTTCGGTGGGTCATGGCCGATCTGCTGGTTTCTCCTGGTGCAGTCTGGTCCAAAGGCAGGGAAGTGGACCACAAGAAGCAACTCTGCCGTTCTTTGACCCCTCGTCCTAAGCACACGCCCTAAACCCTACACCCTACACCCTAGACTCAACACCAAGCTCCAGCCCCCCCTAAACCCTAAACCCTAAACCCTAAACCCTAAACCCTAAACCGAGCTATCAGCTTCGGTTTTTGTGTCCTGAGCCCATGCAGACTTTCGGCGAAAGTTCGGTGGAAGTTTCGTAGAGACCCAGAAAGCGCCCGAAAATTCACCCCGGCCTGGCCTTACAAACCCGAAAAACCTTAGGGTTTAGGGTTTAGGGTTTAATTAGGGTTTAGGGTTCAGGGTTCAAGATAAGGGTTTAGGGTTTAGGGTTTAGCTTAGGGATTCGGGTTTAGGGTTCAGGGCCGCCAGACAGGATCGGTGCTTGCGGCCGAGCACGTCGAGCTTGCTTTTGTCAGGAGAGACGGGGTTCACGCACGGTAGCGCTGGTGATATACGGCTTTCAGGGTTGCAACCTGAAGCAGCCCGAGCCCCTAAACCCTAAACCCTGAACCCGAAAACCCTAAACCTTAAACCCTAAACCCTAGCCCTAAACCCTAAACCCCCAAAAACCCTACACAACTACAGTAATACAGTGGCCCCTTGGATCAAGATTGAGATTTCTAAAACAATCGGGGGGGGCGGGGGGGGGGGGGGGATTCTGAGATGGTTTAGGGTTTAGGGTTTTTAGGATGAAGGGTTTAGGAGTTAGGACTTAAGGGTTCAGGATTTTCCTGCTTAGGATACAAGGGTTTGGGTTCAGGGTTCAAGGCTCAGGGTTGCCCTAGGAGGTCGCTGGAGGACCGCGGAGGAGGTGGCATGCATCCGGATCAAGCACTCCTGGTGCCCTGATCGAAGTTTGGACACGCCTGAGCCGGTGTTGAGTTTAGGGTTTAGGGTTTAGGTTTAGGGTTTAGGGTTTAGGGTTTAGGGTTTGGTTAGGGTTTAGGGTTTAGGGTTTAGGGTTTAGGGTTTTAGGGTTTAGGGTTTAGGGTTCTAGCTTGGCACTCACAGACAATAGCCAAAGCTGCAAGCCATCACATGATGAGTTCCCAATCTCTTGCTCGAATGTGTTACGTTTGCGCGTTTTGCGGGAGGGCTTGGGGTTGAAGTGGGAACGAACATTGATGGGTTTCGGCCAGTCTAGAACCCAGCCCCTCGAGGACCCCAGGGTGGGCCCTTGTTCCCTTTTGTTGTGTTAGGTCAGGTTCCCCCTTTGTATTTTTGAAACAAGAAAGGGCGCCCGTTATTTTTTTTCTGAAATCATTAGCCTGGTCAGGGTTCTGATTTAGGGCTGCAGCCCGAGAAGGGTTTTGGGGTTTTTTAGGGTTGGGGTTCCCTGATGGGTTCACGAATTCAGGGCTAGTTAGACGAGTGTTACATGTACGATTCCACACGAGCACGAACCTGGCTAGCCACCGAAGCGTCAACCCGCGGATACCGGCCATGGCATGGCGTGCATACGCCTCAGAGTTCCCTGCCCTTGAAGGGTTCAGGGCCCGATATCTCTCATCCCGGAACCCCAAACTCCAAACGTGATAGGGTTTAGTGTTTAGGATTTAGGGTTTAGGGTTTAGGAACCCTAACCCTAAACCCTAAACCCTAAACCCTAAAGCACCTCTCCTGGCGAGGCGAGGCCACTGCCAGCGGCGCTTTGGTGCCAGGAGAGTTTTGGGTTGATCTACTTCAGAAACCCTAAAATGGCGAGCCCCTTCAGGCTGGGGGTTTAGGGTTTAGGGTTTAGGGTTTAGGGTTTAGGGTTTTTTTAGTTTAGTTTTATGTCGGCCAGGGCTGCACCCTGCCCATTGGCTTGCAATACAGTGACACCACATCGGGGCGAAATTCCCGTCCTCCTCCCATCTTGCAGCTGTTTTTCTCGATGACAGCTTTTTTTTTGTGAAGCCAAAGAGTTACTGAGCCTGTGTTTTACAGGTACCCAGTTCCTTCACAGATGCTGCCACAAAAAAACTGAGCGGGGAAACGAAACCCCTCACCCTTCTACATGGGTAGCTCTTCCCTCGTGAGATGGGTTTAGGTTGGGGCTTTAGGTTTGGGGTTTGGGACGCGCGGGCTGCCCAAACCCTATCCCAAGCCCTGAGAGCCCTAAAGGACGCGTGGGCCGATCATCTTGACGGCCGAAGCGGGGGTGAGTTCCTTGGGCTTCGCGCAAAACCCCAGGCAAAAGGAGAAGCGAGACGCTTTGGCAGAGATTGGCCTGAACCCGAAGCCGTTCTTGCTCTCGCCGCGTTAAGAGGAGTTTGCGGTTGTCGTTTTTTGGCTTTGGGGCTGAGAGTTTGGGGTGAGGCTTCTTTGGCGCTTGAGGACGGAGGTTCGGGCATGTTTAGATTGGGGATTTAGGATTTAGGATTTAGGATTTAGGTTTAGGGTTTAGGGGTTTAGGTTTAGGTTTAGGGTTTATGCCATCCGAGTTGCAGCTTCCTTTTTTGCAAACCCTCTGAGCCCTGTACCGAGCTGAAGTAGGGGTATGAGATGGAGAATCTGCCCCGGGCCCAGATCAACACTGAAGCAGCTATCGCTACCCCTAAACCCTAAACCCTAAACCGTATGCACTCCCTGCTTTGCAACTGGCTTTAGACAAGGACAAGAGGATTTGTTGTGCAGAGCGTTGATTCTGCTATGCTGGTGGCTGGGCAGAAAGTGCTGGTATACGGCCCGGCTATGTCTTGCAATCCGTAGATGATGTTTCGGTGGGAGAGTTGGACAAGAGCCGTTTCGTGGAGATGCTGAAATCTGTGAGGCCACTCACGCTGAAGTTTGCACGAGAAGATCTAGCAGACAAGACGGAGGAGAGCAGTGATGTTCTGACCGCAGTGGCCGAGCCAGGGACGGCACGCCTTGGTTTTCAACCTGACTGCATGCCACCTGCCAGGAAAATCACTGTGAAGAGTGTTGATGCTGGTGGCTGGGCAGAAAGTGCTGGTATACGGCCCGGCTATGTCTTGCAATCCGTAGATGATGTTTCGGTGGGAGAGTTGGACAAGAGCCGTTTCGTGGAGATGCTGAAATCTGTGAGGCCACTCACGCTGAAGTTTGCACGAGAAGATCTAGCAGACAAGACGGAGGAGAGCAGTGATGTTCTGACCGCAGTGGCCGAGCCAGGGACGGCACGCCTTGGTTTTCAACCTGACTGCATGCCACCTGCCAGGAAAATCACTGTGAAGAGTGTTGATGCTGGTGGCTGGGCAGAAAGTGCTGGTATACGGCCCGGCTATGTCTTGCAATCCGTAGATGATGTTTCGGTGGGAGAGTTGGACAAGAGCCGTTTCGTGGAGATGCTGAAATCTGTGAGGCCACTCACGCTGAAGTTTGCACGAGAAGATCTAGCAGACAAGACGGAGGAGAGCAGTGATGTTCTGACCGCAGTGGCCGAGCCAGGGACGGCACGCCTCGGTTTTCAACCTGACTGCGTGCCACCTGCCAGTAGAATCACTGTGAAGAGTGTTGATGCTGGTGGCTGGGCAGAAGGTGCTGGTATACGGCCCGGCTATGTCTTGCAATCCGTGGATGATGTTTCGGTGGAACAGTTGGACAAGAGCCGTTTCGTGGAGATGCTGAAATCTGTGAGACCACTCAGCCTGAAGTTTGACCCTGCCAAGTCCGCATCTTTTTCTACGGATGAGTTGGCATCGCCCAAGGCTCCTGCAACCCGAAACCACACCTAAACCCCAAACCCTTCAACCTACTGTGGGGCAGGAGATCCGGAACCTTAATTCTTACCCGTTCTTTGTAGGAAATTTGGAAAGTAGGGTACGTATGCAGTCCCTTCAGGGTCATGCAGAACATATCTCCAGGATCCTAAACCTTTCCAAGGTATCTACCAACAAAAACTCATGGGTCCCCTACGACCCCCCCCCCTACCCCTCTCGTAGGTTCCCCCCCACAAAAAAGGCTATGTAGGAATGATTGAGACCAACTACGGTTACTTAAGGGGGGAACCTAGGGGGGCGTAGCATAGAGAGGGTAGTAGGGAACCCGACAGTAACCTGATAAACCCATAGGTGAAAGGACTGGGCGAATGTAGCCCCAATGCTTGCGCATATCTCCCTTCGCAAAGGCTTCATAGGTTACTCTCTTGGTAAAAGAGTCTAAGCCCTAAACCTTGAGACTTTGAGCCCTAGACGTAGCAACAATCCTGACAACCCTACAAACCCTGCAAACCTAAACTTAGCCCTACACCCCAAACCCTATACCCTATACCCTATACCCTATACCCTAAACCCTACACCCTATACCCTATACCCTAGAAACCCTCACCCTGGAGGTGAAGCATCTGCCCACAGCCGCAGACCGCGAGTCTGGCTGGGGGCTCAAGCTCCCGTCTCGGGCCCCCGGGGGTGTAGAACTTAGTAGTAGAGTAGGGTTTAGGGTTTGGGGTTTAGGGTTTAGGGTTTAGGGCTTAGGGTTTAGGGTTTAGGGTTTAGGGTTTTGGGTTTAGGGTTAACCCCTATGAAATCCCAAAGGTTAACCTCCAATTCCTCCAGGATACTGGACAACTAAGAGAATCTCAGCCCTACCCCGCAAGACGAGGATTGTAGTCTTTTAGGGTTTTAAGGGTTTAGGGTGGGGTTTAGGGCTTAAGGGCTAGGGCTTTAGGGTTTTCGGCGCTTTAGAGTTTTTAGGGCTTTAGGGTTTTCTTGCTCGGGAATCTGAAGCCACAGCAGAAACTGGTGAAGCTTTTCTCTCGCCTAGGGCACTTAGCCAGAGAGGGCTTAGCTAAGCCCTAAAGTTTAAAGGGGTGTAGGGGTCAGCTGGGGGATTGTAGCATGACGATGGTTCGAGGTTGTCCAAAAAGCGGGAACGAGCAGTGGGTCCTGGGATTTTCTTTGGACCCCTAAGGTTGTGTACGCTTGGGTTTGAAGGGGACCCTGTTTAAAGATCCTTTAAGGGAATATAAGGGCCATATCAGGAGTATATTAACCCTCGATCTCTGATGCCTACGTGGGGTTTAGGGTTTAGGCTTTAGGGCAGTTGTGGCTTGTAATTGCCGTGGTCATGCTACATACACGCCTACTCGCAAATGCCCACGCTCTTCAAGTAGCTTAGGGCAGTTACATCGTTCCTTTATGTGAGCCTTGTGGTTGCCCCCTAAACCCTAAACCCTAAACCCTAAACCCTAAACCCTAAACCCTAAACCCTAAACCCTAAACCCTAAACCCTAAACCCCAAGCCTAAACCCCGCCCCCTCTTAGAAAGCAGACCCTCTGAGCTTCCGCCGGAGCATCCAGACAGGCTCGGTCGTGGTGGCTTCCTGGCCAGAGGAAGTGGAAGATCTTCGCTTCTATGACGCTCTTCTTACTAAGCCAAATGGGTAGTTTCCTAAATTAAGGTCCCTTTTTGGGTACCCATTATAAGGCGGCACCCTTTAAAAAGGGATCCCAAAAAGGGACCCTAATTAGAAAACTACCCAAGTACATGGACTTGAAACTTCTTGGGCTTCCTATTTCTGTAGAAAGCGTAACATTGTGATTCCTTGGTTCTTGGAGAAGTAAGTCTTCGCACCTGTGATGGCTTGATGTCAGTCCGAACGAAGCCCTAAATCTGGTTTGGGGTTCGAGATGTAAACCGTGAACCCTTAAACTCTGAATCCTCAGCCCCAGTTTTTTTTGAACGGCTTTGCATGTCGATTGCTTCCGACCTAGTCATACCCCTAGGCCTCAACCCTACACCGGAAGAGCCTAGGCCCTGAACTCCAGACCCTACTCCCAAGGTCCTTTTGATGTAGGAATGCAACACTAGACCCTGCAACATAGCAGGATACCTAAATCCCGAAACATTGGGATGGCCCTTATATGAGCAGTTGTTGACTGGTAGAACAACGGATGTTTAGCCCAAGACACACATGACAGCTTAGGTACACACGGAGCATCCTGCGTCAAGGTTGATGCCCTGATCCCTGCAATCCCCCCCGTCCCCGAACCCCACACGAGCGTTCGGAGGCTCTGGAGTTCAGGGTTTAATGTTTAGGTCTCTTTTTGGCCTTCACAGTTTAGGGTTTAGGGTTTAGGGTTCAGGGTTTAGAAACGGGCCCTGGGAGGTTTTCGGTTTTAAGGATCTAGGGCCCCAAGGCCCTAAACCCGGATGGCAAAGCAGCCACCACGATGAGGAATTCCCTCCGCATCGCCACCTCTTCGCCAGGGTCTTCATGGTCTACAAGGCGCTACAAGGGGGGCCTTAAACCCCGAAACCCCTGAACCATAAACTGAGCGTAATTTTGAGTCATATCCGTTCTTCTGATAGTGGTTTTGTGGGCTCCTGACACATTAAGTTTTAAAAAAGAGTATACGCTTCCCTGTGGCTGCTTCAAGAGCCTATAGAACCCTCATCCCAAAAGAGCCCCTGAAACCACTGAACACTGAGAACCCCGCAAAGCCCGAAACCCTTACGAGCCCTGAGGGCCCTACTTGGGGGAGTGCGACACCCTAAAGACCATAAACTTTAAGGGCTTGGGGTTAGAGATTGCCTCCTAAACCCTAGCCCTAAACCCTAAACCCTAGGTTCATGAGCTGTGTAGGCTTCAGGTTTGAGGCATCCCCCCTGCCCAGCAGGGGCTGAGGGGACACCAAGCCCACGCTATCTGAGGTGTTCCACAAGCCATAAACACCCTGAAGCCTAAACTCATGGTGTATCCCTAAACCCTGAACCCTGAACCCCAAACCCTAAACCCTAAACCCTAAACCCTAAACCCTAAACCCTAAACCCTGAACCCTGAACCCTGAACCCTGAGCCCTGAGCCCTGAGCCCTGAGCCCTGAACCCTACACTATGTTAAGCCTAGGGCTTATAGCTCCTGGGTCTGCTATTTGCCTAAGAACTCCCCCAACAGAATAGGGCAATATAGGGATGATTATTTTAATTTTGGGGGGCTTGCTATTTTTTGGCAGGGGGATAATTATGTTAATTTTTTGTGGGGTTCTTGAGCGTCTACGTTTTGCCTAAGAACCCCCTCCCCCCCCCCCCCCCCCCCCCCCCAAAAAAAAAAAAATAACTTCCTTATAAGGGCCATATAGGCATTATTATGCTAATTGTGTGGGCTTATTGTTTTTTGTTTGGGGGGGGAGGGCGGGGATAATTATGCCTATTTTTTTTGGGTGCTCTCTTTTCAGCGAACAGTAGAGGTGAAGTCTTCAGTGGAGCAGCTGCGCTTTGGCGACCTCCTCCTGCGAGTCGACGATGCTCAGGCAAGCCTCTGGTTCTTGGGGCTTAGGGATTGGGGCTTTGGGGGTTTGGGGTTTAGGGTTTAGGGTTCAGGGTTTCGGGTTTAGGGTTCAGGGTTTAGGGTTTAGGGTTTAGGGTTTAGGGTTTAGGGCTGCAGAACTTGACATGCCGAATTAAAGTTAAACCCCTAAATCTCCCAAACCCCGCCATCTCAGCACCTTCCGACATGTTCGGGCGCCAGCTTCGGGCGTGCACGCTGTGGAACAGCCCAAGCCCTGAACCCTAAAGAAGGTTTACTTTCAAAGCACTTGGGGTTCAGGGCCTCCGGCTTGGCGACGAAAGCTTTGGGGGGCTTTGCGAAGCTTTGGGGGGCTTTGCGAAGCTTTGGGGGGCTTTGCGGAGCTTTTGCATCCAAACTGCGGGTTTGGGGTTTCGAGTTCAGGGTTTCGGTGCTGCATTTGGGCTTCAGGATTCGCATTGTTCGGAAGGCGCCATGAAGGAAGAGACTCCGGCAGCCGCACCTCGGGGTATTGAGCCATTGAAACCCCCAAAACCTAAAACCTAAACCCCAAAAGGCCCCTACTGCGCAGAAGCAACCAGGTACCCTAAACCCTAAACCCTAAACCCTAAACCCTAAACCCTAAACCCTAAACCCTAAACCCTAAACCCTAAACCCTAAACCCTAAACCTACTTGGTGTTAAGGGCCCCGATTCTTTGGCTTTGGCAGGCCTCAAGCCTGGCGCCCACAGCCTTGAACAAGATGTCCCCTGGCGGCATCCCTTTTTTGTGGCAGCTGAGGGTCGGGGGTTACTACTATGTGTCATTTGCTTGGTTGGTTTTTGTCTCTTCTGTTTTCTGTGTGTGTGTGTGTGTTGTTTTTTTGTTGGGGGGGGGGGGGGGGGGGGGGTGCTTTTTTCCTTTATTTCTTGTTTTTTTGGAAAGGGGGGGGGGGTGGTTCTAAAGCAAGTAGTGCTTCAGGGTTTAGGGTTTAGGGAGCTGAGGGTTTAGGCCCAATGCCCCAAACCTAATCCCTACACCCTAAAGCCCTCAAAACCCCCCTAAACCACCCAAAACCGCAAACCCTATAAATCCTAAACCCTACAAACCCTCTAAGACTACTCCCCAAACCCTACAAACCCTAAACCCCACACCCTAAACCCAAAATTCTGTAGCCCTGAACCTGCTAACCCTAAACCCCAAACCCTTAACCCTACATCCTGTAGCCCTAAACCTGTTACCCCCAAACCCTATAAACCCTATAAACCCCAAAACAACACACCAAACCCTAAGCCCTAGCCCTAAACCCTATAAACCCTACAAACCCCAGAAACCCTGCAGACCCTATAAACCCCCAAACAGCCCAACAAAACCCTAAACCCTAGCCCTAAACCCTAAACCCTAAACCCTATAAGCCCCCAAACAGCCCAAGAAAACCCTGAACCCTAGCCCTAAACCCAAAACCCTAGAAACCCCCAAACAGCCCAAGAAAAGAAGGCTCCGGAGCGGCCAGCCGCTCCAGCTCAGCTTTGTCCCGGGCAGCGCTGAGGCGCCGGCCAGGTTTCGGGTTCAGGGTGTAGGGTCTAGGGTTTAGGGTTTAGGGTGTAGGGTTTAGGGTTAGGGTTTAGGGTTTAGGGTTTAGGGTTTAGGGTTTAGGGTTTAGGGTTTAGGGTTTAGGGTTTAGGGTTTAGGGTTTAGGGTTTAGGGTTTAGGGTTTAGGGCTGGGCTTGCGCATACCCTGCGGGTCATCCCAGCAGCTCGACGCGAGTTCCCCAGCTTTGCAGGACCGGGAAGAGATGGCAGCCATACGGCTGCCTGGCAAGATTAGATCTGCGTGGGGAGGTGTGGGGGTAGCTACGTTTTTCGGGAGAGGTCAGGGTTTAGGGTTTAGGGTATAGGATTAGGGTTTAGGGTATAGGGTTTAGGGTTTAGGGTTTAGGGTTTAGGGACTTTGGGGTTCATGGTATGCCCTATGAGCCTCAATGTCTCATACGGAGGAGTACCAACCTGAGGATTTCGTATCACACCCGGGTACCTACTTCTCTCATTTTTTAAGAGTATGGGTCAGCTCTCTAACTTAGGGTCGCTTTGAGGGGGTACCCGGTTTAGGGTTTAGGGTTTAGGGTTTAAAGCTTAGGGTTTAGGGTTTAGGGTTTAGGGTTTAGGGTTTAGGGTTTTTTGGATTGGAGAAGTGGCCATAAAAGCACAGCCCCCTTTGAGGGCACCCAGAAGAGCATCCTCCGCGGTTCCAAACTTGGGGGCAGGGCGGGGGGGGTGAAAGTTGCACTTTCGGTTGGCTTGGCAGACAGGGTTTAGGGTTTAGGGTTTAGGGTTTAGGGTGTTCATGTCGATACTTCTATGGCCGACGCCTTGTTCTTTGCAGTGCCGCATCGGTGTCAGACTCCGCTCATAGGTTCCTGAGGACCCTGAAGCCTTAAACAAACTGAAGACTCCCAAAACCCTAAACCCTAAACCCTAAACCCTCAGAACGTTTTGGGTTATCCGCGTTCGGGGCAAGCCTAGTACCCAAGAACCTAACACCCTGCTAAACCTCCGACACCTAAACCCTAGAGCCTAAACCCTAGAACCTTGGGGCTTAGTAAGCCCTGAGCTCCTTCTAAATGAACCGCTCAATTCTTGTCATCGGTAGGTCCCACAGCGGTTGTAAGGTTGGGTTTTCGGGTTTTAGGAATCATGACCTAGGGCTTTGGATTTTGCAGGGTTTTTGGGCTTAGGGTTCTAGATGATTGTAGGGGATTATCTTGTAAGCCTTTGGGGCTTGCGGGTTTGATGGCAACGAGGATCCAAGCAGCCTTTCGCGCGCGCCGGGGCAGGCCTGACGCAACAGACTGCAAGCTGTTGCAGTTGGGTTCGGAGGATTTCGGGTGAATTTGTAGTCACAGCCGTAACCGGAATTAAGGTACCAAAATCCCCACGTCTCATTGCCTGTGAATCTTGAGCTTTGAGCTCGGGCTTAGGCTTTTTGCGGCCTAGTGATGAGGGTTGAGGTCGTCGGGTTTTTTCAAAGGGGCTTGTAGGGCTTACGAGGTCTTTGGGGTTCAGGGCAAGCGCCCTCTAAGGGTAAGGTTTAGGGTTCGTTTAGGTTTGGGTGGCGTAGGTAACTTCAAAGAATGCTGTGCGCTGCCTCAGTTGCTTGTAGCCCAGGTCATGGGGTAAATGGTATGGCGAAAAGCCTGAAGTAGCACGGGAATTGCGCCGGGTTCAAGAGCGGACCTCCGCCCCATTCCAGGCGCGACCGGCAGTGGGTGCACTGGCTTCTGGCAGGACTCAGCATTTGAACCACTTACTGCCTAACGTGTAACAACCACGCGAAAGCCTGTTGCTGCATCCTTCAACCCTAAACCGTTGCAGCCTCCACCGTTGAGGGATGCGGATCAAAAAAACATTATTTAGGAATCAAGAAAAAAATTATTTAGGATCAAAAAACAATTTATTTAGGATCAAGAAATAATTTATTCTGTTCTTCCGACGAAGGAAGGGCGGAAGGACGGAACAAAGGAAGGAAGGCAGGAAGGAAGGAAGGAAGCAAGCAAGGAAGCAAGGAAGCAAGGAAGAAGGAAGCAAGGAAGCAAGGAAGCAAGGAAGCAAGGAAGCAAGGAAGCAAGGAAGCAAGGAAGCAAGGAAGCAAGGAAGCAAGGAAGCAAGGAAGGAAAGGAAAGGAAATGAAAGGACAGGAAAAGATATGTAGGAAAACATAACATAACATCATATGTTAATATATATATATATATATATAGATGTGTATATATGAAAACAAAGTATAACAACATATTTATAGTGGCATAGAGTAGAATAGAACACAATATCGTAGAGTATACCTTTGTGTCATAAAAAATATAATGAAATCGAAATAGCAAAGCATATATGTATATATTTTCTGCTATTTGATATAGAATTGAGAATACACAATACATATTTCTTGTTTGTTTGGCGCCGGGCAAGCTTCTTCAACATCCCTTCCAAACCTATGATGCGAGGCTTGTGTTTGCAAATGGGGAGGGGGTCTGCGCCCCCCCTTCAAACCCCCCGCTGTTTCTTAAAGCCGGGCAAGCATGCTTCAAAGCATATGAGTATCCTTTCCAAACCAATGATGCGAGCGTTGCCCTCCCCCCCCCACCCCCCACCCCCACCCCCCCCCCCTAACCCCCCCCCCCCCCCCAACCCCCCCCCCCCCCCCCAACCCCCCCCCCCGCTGTTTTCTTAGTCCGGGCAAGCTTGCTTCAAAGCACATGAATCCTTCTGATGCGAGCACTTCTTTGCAAAAAAAACATGAAGACACAGTAAGATACAATGATATACAAGAATATGTTACAAAACGATGCAGTGATATGCAATAATACACAAAAATACAACAATATGCAAGTATGTACAAGAATATGCAGCAATATACATGTAAAAAAAGAATAAACTTACAATAATTGTCAGTAATTGACAATAATATCCAATAATAGACAACAATATACAATAATATACAAAATCCCTACAAACATATACAACCCATATATGCAATATTTTTCAAAAAAATATACAAAAGATGTACAGCAAGACATACAACAATATAAAATAGTGTACAAAAAATTCCAATAATATACAATAGTAGATATACAATAGTAGACAATAATATACAAGAATATACAATAATATACTATAATATAGAGTAACCTGCAATAATATACAAAGAAAATTCAAGAATATACAATAATATACAGTAACCTGCAACAAAGGAGAACAATATACAATAATTTGAAAAATATTCAATAACATTCAATAATATGCAATAATATGCAATAATATGCAATATCACACAAAAACATAAGAAAACACAAGACAATACAATAATGCTCAACAATCTATACAACAATGTAATATGCAAGAATATACAATGTCACCAGAATATACATGCTACGCATTTTTGAAACTTCTAATGCCAAGATGCCAGCATTGATTTGCAGCCTCTGCAAACTCAGAAATGCTGCTATTTACAGTATTTCCAGCCTCTGAAATCGCAGAAATGCTGCTATTTTCCGTATTTGCAGCCTCTGGAAACTCAGAAATGCTGCAGTGTACAGTCTTTCCAGCCTCTGAAAGCGCAGAACTGCTGCTACAAACAATATCTGCAGCCTCTCTGGAAACTCTGAAATGCGCAAAAATGCTGTGTTTTTTTGGTATTTAGAGCTTGCGAACGGCCAGAACTGCTGCATTTCTGAGCGTTTACAGCCTCCGTTCCGCTTGTAAGAAGCCTTCGAAGCCTTCAGTAAATTATTTTTTGATCCCAAATAATTTTTTTTGATCCAGAAATACATTATTTTTTGATCCCAAATAAATTTTTTTTGATCCCCTACCCACCGTTGACCCCAAGAATCCAAAAAGCCATAAGCCATAAACAAGATCCTCTTTTTGTGGCATGATAGCCCCAAGACTCCGCAAGCCGCCCCGAAACTGCACAGACACCATAAACACCGCAAAGGCCGCCCTGCAAAGCCAGAGCCCCTAAGAGCTCCCTCTGCAAACCCTTTAGCAAAAAGCGCCTGAAGCCCGACTCAAAAAAGGCCCAACTGTGAAGTAGCCCTAAATCCTAAACCCTAAACCCTAAACCCTAAACCCTAAACCCTAAACCCTAAACCCTAAACTAAGAAAGCCAAGCCCCAAATGCGAAGGACTGCGCCGCTTCTACGTGATCCCGGCCCTGGCGCACCTCCAGCAGCGCCTTTCCGGAAAGCCCATAGCTCCACGCTCCTCGGCCGCCAGCTTGAGGGTTTAGGGTTTAGAGTTTAGGGGTTTAGGGTTTCGGGTTTAGGGTTTTGGGTTTTGGGTTTAGGGCTACTCCAGGGTTCAGGGTTTGAGTGTTAGGCTTGGGGACTGGGGCTTGTGGTCGGGGGGGTGCAGCTGTTGGAGGCCTTATGGTTTGGCGCGGAAGGGGCCCGGATTCGGGTTCGCAGGACTTCTGGTTCGGGAGGGCTTTGGGTTTCTGCGCCCTTCACTGAAGGGCTTTTGGGACTCTCAAGCCACCATAGTACCGTTGGCTTGCAAAGCCCTTGGCTTGCAAAGCCTTTTAGCTCCAAGGGAAGCTACATGGCCCCTTAGTGCGGTCCCTTACCTTCTTGAAAGGGTACAGGGTACCGCCCCTTAGTGCGGTCCCTTACCTTCTTGAAAGGGTACAGGGTAGATACCTGGAGCTTCATGGTACTTAGTAACCCAAGTATAACTGTGCTTACTCAATGAAACCCTGTTCGAGTACTTAAGGGACTTATATGTGGGTTATAAGCACCCTTACTTGTAAGTACCCTGAACCTCCAAGTAAGGGGTATAGAAGAGTTCCCCAGTTGAGGGCCCAGATTGAGGGACCATATACCTACCCCGAAGATTGGCATGTGTTGCTGGCACAGATCTGCAGTGGTGGAGAACATTCTAAAGCGCCTGAGATCCTTCCAGGCAAGACCTCCGCAACCAAGATGCTTCTTGACATGGGAGACTAAAGAGAAAAGTACCGCTTACAATAGTCAGAATCATCGCAACAACAAACCACAACAAGAAAAACACGAACTTTTTCGAAGAATTGTAGTATTAACCATCATCATCATCACCATCATCATAGTCGGGTTTATCCTCTGTCAAGGTCTCATGCGGCGGCTGCTGCAGAAAACACCGGGAGAGGTGAGCTGGGCGACTATCTGGCTTTCTGGGCTTCGGTCATAGTATATCTGGCTTGATGGCTCGGTTTTCCTAAACTTCTCAAGCAAAACCCTAACGTACTCCTCATTCCGATCCCAAACACTTCTTTTGACGGTCGGCATTTGTCTTGCTGGCTGTTCCTGTTCTAGGGTTCTCCCTGCAGACTGAAGAAGTTCCCATGACCTGCTTGCTTTTGCCGTTGCGACTGGGAGTTCGAGAGCACCCAAAACCCGGAAACAACGTGCTGAAGTTAGCACATGTGGCCCAGCGAGCAAGTGGGTGCGAGGGGGGGGGGCGGGTTAGGGCGTAAAGTTTAGAGACTTTAAGGGCCCTCCGCGCGAGGCTACAGGGCAGCCATCTTCGCTGCTCTAAGGATAGTTGTATGCCACAAACTGGTCACTTACCTTTGGTAGAGGGTTCTCAAGCACAGGCCCTGGGAATCTGCAGCGCATTTAGAGAAACTAGAGGCTACACAAGAGAGCTCAAGTCAAGGGCGGTGAAAGCCCTAGCAGGTACCCTAAGACTAAGCCTAAATCTCCTCACCTTCGAATCCTCAACCCCTCAGCAACTCAAACAAGCACAGCAAGCGAAGCACCCCTAAGAGCACCCTAAACACCCTAAGAGCACCCTGACTGCCCCTAAACCCTAAACCCTAAAGTCGTAAAACTCCAAAAACTCGAGAACCCCAAACGAATTTAAACCCCTATAACCCTAAAACCCAAACATTCCAAACACCCTCACCCCGAAACCCCTAACACCCGAAAAACCGGAAACGCCCCCCCCCCAAAAAAAAAAAACCAAAGAACCTAGTTGGCCTTTCACAGTATATTTGAAAAAAAAACAGGTTTTCAAATCTCGGTCATTTCTAGTTACATAACTTTACAAGGCGAGAATATTATGCAATAACACCAGCGACGACGCAATAAACAGTTGGTCAATAAATACCAGAACCAAGCCCCAAGTCAATTGCGTCCAGTTTGCTTCATATCAGTGTTTGCTCGAGCTTTGCTTGGAATGCACACTGTTTACAGTGCCATGCCCTAGGCTCGCCCTAGACGCCTCTTCATACCTCTTTACACCTCTGATCGCTCGAACGACATGAGCGTGCATCCACGTCAGTTCCTGCCGCAATACACGGCACGGAACGCGGATCGGCTCGTTTTTGGTTTGGCTTCGGTGCGGCGCTGCGCGTCCAAAATGCAAGGGCATTCGTGCTGATGATGTCTTGCAATGTCATCAGAGCACACGCAAAACGCTGGAGCAAACTTCAAAGTCTCAAAGGCAACTTCCGGCTCCGCATCGGAGGAAAGCATCTAGGTTACGCTAGCGAAGGGTTTTTCAAAGCTGTGCTGCAGTGCTTAGTGCTCAGCTGATCTGCCTGAGGCCAGAGCCTTCGGCCCTCCCACCGGCCCAGAGACCGCAGGAACGCCCTACCCCTTGGAAACTACAAGTGTACACCGCCCTGGTCGAGTATGTGCAAGGGGCTTGCACAGGGAGTCTTGGTACTATGCCTCCTGGGGCAGAGGCTGCGATGCGCTTACTCCTTCCGTCCAGTGTCGCGGTCGAGGCGGTGCAGCACGGGGACCCTCAAGATGGCAAGCCCTGGCCAGTGGTTGTGCTTTTCAGAAACAGTGAGACAGCGCAGAACACGCGTGATGTTTGGTTACAGAACGTGCTTCGTCCACTGTTCGGAAAGGACAAGGACCTGGGGCTTCGTCCAGCGCGCTACCTGCCGTCAGGGGTGCACAGGCGAGTGCACGACTTCGTCCCCGCAAAAGGAAAGGGTAAAGGGCAGGGCCGCTCGCCGAAGCGGGAGTCGGAGGCGCGTGATGAGCGTGGTGATGGTACCCGACGCCGAGTGTGACGAGGACCGTATGCTTTTTTTGGGTCGTTATCGTTGAATTCTGTGGCGTGCGGTGCCGCCCGCATTGCCTTGTTTATGCCCGGTGCCGCCCGGTGCATACTGTTTCCGTTGGGTGCCGTCCCACGGAAGTTCGTGCGTGCGTTGCGTTTACCTCGTTCGTCCTGGGGCTTCGTGAGGCTGAGTTGTGGTTTGTTGGGCGATCACAGTCGTTCGTTCGTTTCGGGGCCTCGCGACGGTTGAGGTTAGTGTGCGCAAGTTATATCCCATCCTTGGTAATGTGCTGCACGTGGTCATCCTCCCACACAGTAAAGCTCTGGTATCCTCTTCTAATCCCTCTCTGTTTTCTTCTCTAGACGACAGTTTCGGTAGGTTTTGTCCCCCCCCCTTTCAAGTCGAGACATCTTTTAGCTGTCCCCTTTTTCAACAATTGAATAAATTTCCAGTTTCACGCACCCAAGTCCTGGTACAGGACAACAGGGTGGGCTCCAGGCCAGAGCCTTGACATCACCACCATCAAAGGGCACGTGCTCCAATACATTCAGGACCATGCCATTGACGGTCCACGGAGCGCGCCTCTGCCATCGATGGGATCGTGGCAACAGAGCCGCCATGCCTCCGTCACTCCTCGTAAGGTGCTAATCTGCCAGACTGGCACACACCGAGACGAGGTCACGCAGGCCGAGTTGAGTTTGCTTTTGGGGTTTGGTGACCTTACAAGCCTTGCATAAGTGTAGGCTGCTGGAGAACTTCACGAACTGACAGTAGAAATTTGGAAGCCCTACTCAGCCTCGGCACTCAGCGCACTCCCTGGCGCCAATCCCAGAGCCGCAACGCAGGCCAGGGCCGAAGGCAGCGAGGAAGAGAAGTGTTCTGAGGATGCCGCATGCCCCAACCCCGAAGTTTGGCGGAGCTTGGCTGCAACCCGTGTTCAAGTTAGAGGTGGAACCTGAAGCCAAGTGCGCATGCACCTCAGGGCCTTCTTTTGTTGCAGCCCTTGTCTTGTGAGTTCGCTTGTGAAGAGGCGTACTTTGAAGCGCGTGCGTTGAGTTGAGGCCTCTGCCCTTGCCTGCCGAGCCCATCGAGACACGTGAGTGGCGCAACCCGTATTGAATGGCCGTCCAGGGCAAGGAGGACGAGTTCGAACCACGAGCACCACCAAAGGTTCAGGGTTTGTGGTTTAGGCTAAAATCTTGGCAGTCTTCTCCAGATCGGCGATGTTCAGTCTCACTTCTCGGCTATGCGTTCGCTTCTAGTTCAAAAACGGGTTTAGGGTAAGGGAAAACTCCAGGAATGGATGACCCCACACCCACCAACCACCTATGGAACACGGAAGGTAGCCAAGCAGTTGATTGGAATAGGATCGGTGCACGCGCCCGTTTCACCCAGTCCTTCTCTGGTTATTCTCGGAAGTAGCTACGCTGGTCAAAGACCACGAAAATCACACACGCCTCCTTTCCAATTATCGGCCCAGTTCGTCACAAACTTCGCCGCTGTGGTCCAGTCACGCCTTGAGTCTCATTTGGACGAGCGAATACGCCCCACTCAATTTGGATTCCGCAAGCATCAAGTCCACCTCCCAACCTGTGCTCGTTCTCCACCATCTCATCGCAGTTCTTGAACGTCAAACCACCTCCTTTCCACGCACTCTTGTCAGATTGGTCCAAAGCCTTTGACTCAGCCACCTTTGCAGCCATCCGAACCGCCATGCAGCATATGGGAGTCCCGATGCGCCGCCCATCCCTTTGGCCTGCGAAGTCAAATACTTAGGAGCCTACCTTTAGGACACTCTGATGTCCCATGCCAACCTCCCTCCTTCTTGGAAACTTACTGTTTACCGCTCAATTCTCCAGCCCATTCTAGTGTACCCTATGAAAGTGTACAACTCACCCCATCCCAGTTGATGCACGTAGTCTCCATCCACTACAAACAAGTCGGCATTTTGAGGCCAAAGCCTCATACTACCGGGTCAGCGACCCATCACAAGCCGAATGTTCTAATCACTACCTTGCCTCACTGGCCTATCCTTCGTGTCGCATCCAACCACCCTCCCAAGTTTATTCGCAGCAGCTTTCAAAACTCTTGGACCACCTAACAAGTTCCACAGGACATCAATTACCAACAGTAGGAATGGATATGTTTTGAAATTCAGGAGGTTCTAATTCTATTTTACGAATTAGAGAGACACAAGGGGTGTTTGAATTCAGGAGCAGAAATTTTAGATGTATGAACACAAGTAACCCAGCGAATGAATAGAAATGATATTGCACGACACAGGACCCCTCAACGCCAAACCCTAAAACCCTAAACCCCACACTCGCCAGCAACACCCTCACCCCTAAAAGCCTAAAAGCCCTAAAAGCCCTAAAAGCCCTAAACCTTAAAACCCCAAAAAACCTCCTCACCCCGAAACCTCCAAGTCCATCCCGCTGTAGGAGCTGGTCGCAGAACCGCTGAGCAGCGAAGGTGCCTCCTTCGCTTTCCGGGGCCTCATATCCGGGGTAGGTTTGAACAGATTTGTTAATGGTTACGACCCATAATATCTTATAGAATCCTTCAAAAGCCATAAAGACTTGCTTTTTTCTACCCAAGATATAGCGAGTTCTCTAAATTGGGGTCTTTTTGGGGTACCCTAATGAAGAGGGGCCTCCTTGTAATAAGGGCCCCAAAAGGGCCATAAACATTAATCACCATACAGGGTTTCGGGGTCTAGGGCTTAGGAACTCACAGGGGCTGTAGGGGCTTGAGGGCGTTTAAAGTCGAGGGCCCAGGGTGTTCTAGGGTTTACATGTTAGGGGTTCTGACCAGCAGCGCGAAGTAAGTTTTCTGCAGTAGGGTCTCGGGTGAAGTGAGCATAGGGGGCTTAAGGCTGAGGGTTCGGTTTCAGGGTTTTGGGGCTTTGGAGAGCTGCATGGATTTCTAAAGCCTCAGAGCTTCAGGGTGATTTCTGGGCTTCCGGATTCGGGGGCTAGCTTAGTTTGTTGCTGACAAATCTACAGCCTGAAGTTTGAAGCACGAAACCTGAGTGTCATGCTGAAGCGTACATGCTGTTCTGCTGCCTTCAAAATAAACTCCTTAACCTAAACGCCGTGATATTGATGACGTGCAGGTGCTTTTTGTGGAGAACCATCCATCCAGGATTTTCGCTTTTTCTTTGTGAAATTCATATCCGAGCTTTAAACTCTAAGCCTCTAAGCAGTAAACTCAATTTTGCGCTGCAATGACAAGCCTCTCGGGGGGCAATCTTTCGCCCATTTGATGCCTGCAGGCTGCAGCCCAGACGTGCAACTTTACAGCCCCGATATGTTATCCTCTTTTTAATTGGGACATGGCGAAATTCATAAACGCTGAACTCTGCGCCTTAAACTTGATTCATATGTCGCGTCTGCTGGGGGGACGGGCAACCCCAAATCCTAAACTCCAAGACCCCAAATTGCACTTCTTTCCTGAGCGCACTTGACTCAACGCATGGAAAGTTTCACCTGAATTCAACCGCTGGTTTTGCCGGCGTTGTCCGTTCAGTGTTGCCGGGGAAAAACGGTTACAATCCTGTCACAGCTTCTTTCTGACTCAAATCTGAGAGTACATATGAAATCGCGGATTGTGTCAGGATGTGAGTGGCTCCTCCTTCGTGGGAGTTGGCAAGCATACTGGGCCCCGAGCCGCAAAACCCGTCAATAAACCCCAAAGCCTCACAACTTCAACTACAAACCCATCCGTCCTGAAACCCAAGAGGACCCCACCTCGCAAGCCACCCATGGTTCGGGGTAAGGGAGGGGGGGGGGGGGGGCGGCGGGGGTTGGGGGTTTAGGGCTTCGCGTGTAGGATTTATCGGGAGGTGTGGGGAAAGAGCCAGGGGGTGGGCCGGGAAGGGGGCAAGAAAAGAAGCAGAGCTTCGTTGCTACATTCTCAACCAAAAGTTTCCTTCCCCAAACCCCACACCCTTCTTTGAGGGCCTTCCGACCTCCAGCCTCAAAGCTAAAATCAGGGGATCTGGGCCTGCGGCTGCACATTGCGGACCCAGAGGCCGCACGCCTGCACCTTGCGGCCTTGGGAGGGTAGCACTTTCGGTTTGGGTTTAGGGTTTAGGGCTCGGTGGCTAGGGTTTTGGGTGTAGGTTCTGATGTTAAGGATGGTTGGGTCCAGGGTTTAGGGCTAGGGTTCATCGGAGGCTTAGGATGCCCTAGAACATGAACCAAACTCGACAGTGAGCCCTAAACCCAACCCCGAAAAGCCCCTAAACCCCTAAACCCTTAGTCTTGGTTCTAACCTTGTTTATGGGCATCCGAAGTATGGGCCCATATTTTGTGGTGTATATTTTATGAGCAAGGGACCCAAATGAAGGGCCCATACTTGGTAGGCAATTTAGGCGGAAATCCTAAACCCCTTAAAGTGTAGGGTTTGGGGCTTACCAAGAAGTTCTTGGCGTTAAGGCAAAGTGCAAACCTCCGAATTCCTGTTCTTTCCAGGTACACCCCCGGAACATTGAGTCCCAAGCCCATGTTCCAAATCCCGCGCCTTTAGCCCGTGGCTGTGAAGGCTGAAAAATTCGATTCACCTTTTTATGGTTGCGCCCAGGCGGGCTCCCCGTTGGTTGGTTTTAGGGTTGAGGGTTGGTTGACCATGGGGGTTGGGGGGGGGGGATACCATGGGATGGGGGGGGGGGGGGGGGGCGAGAACGCACAGCGCACGGCGCCCTCCAATAGACGATCCCTCTTGCAGCACCTGTGAAAATACGAAACCTCGTGTGTGGTTTCCCAAAGAAGGGGCATAAAGGCAGAGAACCCCCTAAACCCTGAACCCCAAACCCGAAACCCGAAACCCGATTAAGTAAGTTTTGGAAGGCTCCCCTCAGCTCTGCCTAGACGAACAAAGATCCCCAACAAGATGTAGAGGTCGCTTCTCAAGCAGAGCTGCAGCAGCATGGAACCAGCTCTCGTTGGCGCGGCGCAGTTTGGGATGCCTGTGCCTCCGAAACCACACTTCCGTAGCACGACTCACCT